ACCAGCTCTTGCTGTCCTTAACATTCCCTTTGCAGTAGGCTGCAGAGGGGCTGCGAGGTGGTAGTTCAGGCCCTCCTGCTTACCCTCCCCAGCCCGCCCGCCCTCCTGCACATCACGGCAACTTTGTCAAACGAAGAAATGAGCACGGACGTAAAACCACAGACTTCATTCTGACTGAGCTGCTTTCCCACCACTGTCTACACAGATCTTCCGGAAGATACCTGGCGTGGGGTCTGCGTGGATCGAAGTCCGAGGCCTTGGGGAGTCCAGGGCCCCTTCTTCGGCTGGGAAATAAATCCCTCGATGAGAAGCAATGTCGCGGGGATACCACAATGATAAACCCTGGCACCAGCCTCATGGGAAGGGGAGGCACCCAGAGCTTCAGAAGACGTGTCTGACCCGGGGAGGGGGGCCAGCAATCTTCACTGCCTCCGTGACAGAAGGGGCCCTTTGTAATCAAACGTCCCCAGGAAAAGGTGCAGCTCGGTGTCGGTCTCTTCGGCTGCAGCACAACAGAGCCAGCTGAGTAATGCCTGTAACCACCACGTGCTGGTGGGCCCCGTGGGGGAGGCTGGCAAGGACGTGGCAGACCTGTTTCTCTGCTCTACGGTGTCCGGCGCCTGCGCAGGAAGACAAACAGCTGGGGTGACCAGTGGCCAGGTTTCTCACTCCCATCGGGTGCTCGGAATGAGACCCCAGAGGCTGGGCTCACCTGACTGCTGAGCAGAGCACTTCCTGAGCCCTCTTCCTGTGGCCTGAACTTCTCAGCCCACGGGGGCTGGCTGCAGCTGACCCCAGGGGGGACGTCTGGAGAGCAGGCATTCCAAGAGAGCCAGCAAAAGCCGATGGCCTTTCTGCCACAGCCTCAGAAGCCACGCAACATCGTTCCTGGCACACTCCGTGGGTGGAAGCAGTCATAAGCCCACCCAGAGCCTAGGGAAGGGTCCTCCTCTCAATGGGGAAGAGTCGGAAGATTCCAGGCCCTCTTTTCTAATGAACACAGCAGGTTCTGCCCTCAGCACTAGTGTTAACCAGGTCAGCCTTGGAGAGGGGACTTCTCTGTTGGTGAGCGCATCACGGCCTCCATCCCTGCCACCATGACCTTGTGCGTGGGCCCACTGAGCAAGCACTGGGGTGACTAGACAACGAGGCTGCCGGACACCCTCAAAACCTGCCTTTTTAGGCTCCTCCTCTTCAGGGAAGGCTGTCGGTGAGCGAGCATTCGCATGAGACACACCTCCCACCCAGAATCTGCTCGGAGAGGTCCATCCACACCTTTCCCAGACCTCCTTGTCCCCCGCCTTCCAGTTCTCTCTCCAAGTCAGTGACCATCTAGCCAAACGGGGAGCCTGCCAGCACCCACCCACGAGTCTGTGTCGAGAAGTACTGGCGTCTCCTGATCCAGACCCTGGACCACCCATGGACCACTCAACATGCAGCCCCGGGAGGAGTTTCCTGCACTGCCTTCCCTCGGGCCACCGCTGGGGGCGCTGCGAGGCTGCCGCTGCCCAGGTGGTCGGACATATTGTGGTTGGTGCCACTGAATCATGCAGAAACACCTGCAAAGTCAGCTGAGCATGTTCTCCTCAGTCCTGAGACCCACTGTGGGACCACAGGTGTGGGTTAGACAGACAATGCAGCAGGAGTGGGTGTCACGGGAACCTGCGTCACCTGCACCAGCCACTCACTCATGGGTTCCAACCCTGCTCAAGTTCAAGTCGTCTATGCCTTTCCTACTCAACAATACAGTACCGCTGAGCATGCTCGCCCTTGTGGTCCGGGGATCGGATAACACCCAGTCCGTGCCGTTGTTAGGTGCTCCGTCTCCCCGGGCCCAGCAACAAGGAAGAAGTGGATCCTCAAAGGGAGATAATGACTGCACAGCAGGGCACGGGTTTGCCCTGAAACTCTTATGGGCTGTGCTGTGACTGTGGGTTCGAGCCTGTCTCCAAACCACAGGCATTTCAAGTGTCACGGACTTTGTCGGGTAGTAAGACCAAGTGGTCGAGCAGCGTGTACTGCAGCCTGGAGGTGCCTCGAGCCTCCTCTTGCTCCAGGACCCACTCAAAACTGGCAGCCCGTGGGTTCCAGTAAGCAGGTCAAAGTAACACACTTCAATGTGCTGCACGCTGCCTGACACCTAGACATTCTGTAAGCGCTGTCTCGTCTTCATTCGGAAGTGCATTGGGGCACCTTGTCCTTCACCTTGTCCTGAACTCGGCCAACAACCTCAAAGAACCAGGAGGTGGGTTCTCGCTGGAGCCTCCGGAAAGGAACACGGCCCGGTGAGACCACAGCAGACAGCACGCCGTGTAACTGGTGTCACTGATCTCTGCTGTTTCCAGCGGCTGCTGGCGGTGACCCGTCACAGTGGTGACAGACAGCCTATCCGACTCTGCTGTGAGGAGCCCAGGCTGCCCCAGGGGAGGCGCGTGGGGAAACCGGCAGCCGGTGCCAGCTTGCCAAGCACGAGTGGACCACCCTGGAAGTGATCGTCCAGCCCCGCGTCACCGGGTGCGGCAGAACCACGTTGTCCGGCAGATTCCTGCTGTTTCAGACTCGTGAGCAAAAGAAACGGTTTGTTCCGAGTAGACAACCAGAGCGTACAGACCCCGGGGGAGCGAGCCCAGGAGCGATGACCTGGGAGTTCCAGGCTCCTTGTGGTGGCCCCCGGGACACAGATGGAGGGTTAGGGAGAGTCCCCATGGTCCTGAAGCAGTGACCAGGCAAGTTGGGGGAGGGCAAGGGAAGCAATGTCGCCAGCAGCAGGGGAACTCGGTCCACTCCTGCCCCCGGCGGGGTGTGGACCAGGGGGACCAAGTCCCTGAGGTCCTTTTTGACTCCTTTATTGTACACATAAGGGTGCCTCCTACACACTCTCGTGCATCCACGTGTCACAATACGTTTCTTTTTAACGAGAGGAGCGCAATTGGAGGCCATGAGCATCAAGAACTCTCGGTGGGGGTTTGCTGTAAAGGTACCAGGGGAAATGGTTAACAATGGGAGAAGCAGAGGGGATCGGTTGGGGGGGGGGTGAAGACGGGAAATACCTCTACCTGCACGCCGACAGGAACGACGCACCTCAAGGCAGCGCGGATGAGCCCCGGAGAGGTACTGAAAAGGTGTATGAGCTGTAGCTACACTGAATGCACGAGCTCACGCTGCTTTAGACAAAACAGCTGCTGTCGCGCTGCGGCCAAATCCCGGAACCGTGTTCACCTTCAGAACTGAACCCAAGGCTGGGATGAAGGCATTCACGGCCCCGCCAGGAGTAATCTCTTCTTCCCTAGCTCTCAACCTCCAAGCCTGCTTCTTTAAAATAGTCCTTAGTGTATGCAGAGTATACTGACTGCGATTTTGTTTAATTATCTCTGCAAATTCCGTGTCAACAGTTCCTACGGTCCACCTCGGGAATACTGAGCTGAATCAGTCTTTCGAGAAAAACGTTCCTGAGGGTGCTTGTCCTAACCGTGGCCCTTGGGACTGTCGAAGTCAGGGGCATTTTTAAGAGCACACACCTGCTCCTGCCGTCTCCCGACTGAGAAAAGACCTACGCTGTTACTTTAGTTATTCATCACTCTGGAGCGGGTGCTCCTCCCACAGGCTTGTTTAGAAGTAACAGCAATTATCACTCGACACTGTTTTTATTTAATAGTTTTAATAACAGAAAAAGAACCAAAAATAACCTGCATACTGGTTATTTAACAGAAATAGAGATGAGGTATGATTCTGTTTAAACAAACTTATTAAACTGCTCTTTGTAAGTAACAGGGTAATCTTACCACCCTAGATGCCAACAGTATTGGCATTTAGCCAACTGGATCTTAACAAACTGCATTAATCAGCCCTGGCCGGTTTGGCTCAGCGGTTAGAGCGTCGGCCTGCGGTCCGGAGAGACCCGGGTTCGGTTCCCGCTAAGGGCACGTACTTCGGTTGCAGTTTGTCCCCGACCCTGGTTGGTCGTGCGGTGGCAGCCACTCGATGTGTCCCTTTCACATCGATGTTTCTCTCTCTCTCTCTCTTCCTCTCTCTCCCTCCCACTCTATCTGTACAAAAAATGGAAAAATGTCCTCGGGTGAGGATAAAAAAACAAACCAACTGCATTAATCAGTAAATCCCAGCCTTAGATTTCCATCCAAGTAGTAAAACTACTTTATGAAAAAAAAAAAGATAGGTAGATGGATCGATAGCTATTCCTTCGCAGAATCTATCCAGACAGGCGGGCAGATCTAGAATGTGTGGGAGTTGTCACTGGGGCACCGATCTTAGGCCCCCAAGTTCCCTCCGGTGGATCTGAACCCATGCTCCCGAAACGCTAATGACCAGGGTTTGCAACCTAAAGCCTGCAGTGGACCCCACGTCACTGACTGACTTCTGCCTGACCCTGGCTCTTTACTGTACACAAACCTCTCCCCACACCCTCACGTGCAGGCACCCACAAAGGCTGACCATGCCTCCTGACCATGCCCACCTCCTGCCATTCCTGACCCAGATCTGCTGTCTTTCTTTCCCTCTCCATTACCACGTGTCAAGTGCGCTCCTAGCGTGCCAGGCACTGTAATGGTGTTTTATCAACATTATTCCTATTACCCACAACCCTACAGGACAGATGTTCCCACTTCACAGCTGGGGAATGACTACTACTCAAGGTCAGGCAGCGGCAGTTACAGGGTGACTGGGGCCAGACACAAGTGGTGACTGAATCAGATCATCTTGGAAGTCCCTGTATGGGAAAAAGAACCAACATCGGGTACCTCCTATGTCACAACGCTTATGGAGTTTAGGTTTGGGGTGAACATATTTGCAATGGCAAGTGACTAGTTTCATGAGGTCTCTGAGAAGCACCGTAGCCTTCCCCCTAAAAAGAAACCTTATTCCTACAGCTACCTCAAAGCACTAATGGCTGAAAACAGAAACTTTTCCAAAGTTTATATTACAAAACCCACGAAGTTATAAAAATATTTTATTTAAATGTTAAGGAATAAAGTATACATACTTAAAGATCATTAAAAGTTCGTACGTTAAACATGCTAAAAACCCAGTAATTTACACAATGACAAAATCCAAAGTGGCAGGAATGCATGAAGTCCGTTCAGCGGTCCTCGCCCAGCGAGGCTTTAACAAGGGAGCTCCGGCACCTGCCCACCTGCGGTGAAGGCACAGGCGCGCCGCCCCCGCGCGGAGTGAAGCTCCATCCACAACGCGGGGCACGCGCGCCACACCTATGGCGAAGCTTCACTTAACTGTACACCAACGCTTCCCCAGACTCAAAGATGAACACTGCAGATTAGTTATTTCCATTTTGAAGAGAATATTCCTACTCTGAATCTGAACAATTCAATAATCATCTGAGTTTAAGACTATGCAAATAAAATATAATTTATTCTGATTTCAACCACAGATCAATGAAGTTACAATTCTTCCCAGAAAACCACTCACTCGAGATGCTTTTCCATGTTCAGCAAGCTTTCAGCCAGCTGGATGTTTCATCGTTGGCGCTACATTTTCATGCCCTGGAACCTGAAAGAAAGCCAACATTTATGCCCCAGGTGAGACAGTGTATGTCATGCTTCAATGTGATGCTAAAAAGCACAGTTCAGTCTACAAGCCTACGACACTATCTGCTCTCCACGACCAATGATAAGTTCACATCCGCAGTGAGTCAGAAGCGCCACAGTGAGCAAAAACTCACAACTGAACAAAGATTTCACACCACGAGAAGGGAGGAGTAGGAGACACGGCCAGACGGAGCGCTGTTGCGGACGCTCACGTCAGCGGGCCGGGCACTGAGGGTCCGGGCGGCCCGCCAGCACAGCAGCTTGTGGGGGCTCCCATGTCAGCGTGGTCACAGACGACGGCAACCACCTTCCGCCCGGCGGCAGCTGGGTTACGTCACTTCGTGGATCTAGCGCCCTTCCTCTAACGCTCCATGTCAGTTTTCTTCAGCACCCCCGTAATCTGCTTAGTGTACTGACTTACTTCTCTGGGTCTAATTTCCACCCTGTAGACTGACGTATGGAGTAGATGTCCTCCATGCTCTGACAAGTGACATGAAGGCCGAGACCGCCTGTCTTTCCCACCACGTCCCTAAGCACAGTCCTCTCAATACACATGCACTTAACAAATGAGTTCTCTGTCCTCAGCAAACACCTCTGTGAGGCAGCAGGCCCAGGGAGGGGTGCTGTAGGAGGCAGAAATTCTATAAAGAACATGAAGGAAGCCCTGGCCAGTTTAGATCAGCGGTAAGAGCATCGCCCGTGGACCAAAGAGTCCCGGGTTCGATTCCAGCCAAGGGCACATACCTCGGTTGCGGTTCATCCCCGGCCCCACCTGGGGTTGTGCGGGTGGCAATCAATTAATGTGTCTCTCTCACATGGATGTTTCTCTCTCTCTCTTCCTCTCTCCCTCCTGCTCTATCTGAAGATTAATGTAAAAATAGCAGGGAGGAAGGGAGGGATGGAGGGGAGGGGACAGAGGGAAGGGAGGGAAAGGAGGGAGGGAAGGAGGGAAAGAAAGGAAAGGGAGGGAGGGAGGGAGGGAAGGGGGGCGGAAGGAAGGAAGGAAGGAAGGAAGGAAGGAAGGAAGGAAGGAAGGACATGAAGGGAAAGGTTGATATGCCATCCCTCAGACTTTTGTGAAGCAGCCAGAAGAATTAGAAAATGGCAAAAACGTTTTGTCCAATTGGGTAAAATAGCTCTTGTTCCCTAAATTCCCATTCCTTAAGAACAACCTAGCCCATAGTCAATTGTATATAAGCTGATTTCAGTAAAGCATGGTCTCATGTATGAACGTATTTACACTGGAAGTGAAGCTGTCTTCATGAGATCTTTGCAGGACAGGTGCCTTCTCTACCTAGTAGTCAGAACTAAATTATACAAAAGGGAAGGGGTCTCGGTCCCTTTGATCTCAGTTCAACGGATGCACCAATGTGAACACGACTGAAACAAGTCACAGGTGGTCACCTGAAAATTGGCACAGAAGATAGTTTTCAAATGAGGTCGTTATCAGCACTACCAGCCTAGAGATCTTACCTTCAGAAATCATCCAAGGAGTGAGATCAACATTACGACGCCCATGAACTGGGTAAACAACACCAGCGGGGTGAAAAACGACCACACGGGCCACAGAGCGATGTTGAAGCTGAAAGGAAAAGACACGCACGCTGACTCCAGCTGCCACCCACACGGACATTCTCTGGCACAATCTAGATATAAAGAACTCGTTTCACTCCGTTTGGGCAAGTTCATTCAGCGGCAATATTACACGTTCTTATTTTTCTATCCGAGATGTGACTTAGCAAATTCTGAAACTATCACAATCTCTTCAAAAGTACTTGGAACTGGAGTCACCGGGGTGTCTTAACACGGGCCGGCACGGGTCGGTGTCTGCGATGGAACATGGACTGGAATGGCCGTAGCCTGCTCTCACCATCTTGCCCACTAGCAAACTATTATGGTCAAAGATGGTTAAAAGCATTCTTCTTTTAGAAACAGAATTTACAAAGCAACCATTTATAACTTGCTATTAAATTTTCCATAGAAAAAAATACTGTCACCAAGGTAAGAATAAAACACTTTCTAAGTGCAACTGACTTTTATGGACTGACTTTATAAGAGCTTAAGTTAAAATAGGAAAAACTATAGTCAATCAAATGCTTCAAATAGTTATTGCTTTTAATATGTAATGTTATAATAAGAACTTTAAAGTAGCTATAATTATACTGTTCTGAAAAATAAAATAACATTTCTGGGGGTGATAGCAGCCTTATAAGAAAGTGTAAAATAGCACAGCTGTCTACCTACAATACTGAAGGGTTAATAATAGCCACATCACAAGGTAGTACATCAAATACCCTTGAACTTCAACTACAGAAAATAAATCATTAAAAAAGTAGATTTAAACTGAGTATCTACAAAGGCATGTGCCTTTTCCAAAATCACAATTCATTTAACATCAAGAAAAGACTAAAACTAAAAGGCTATGTCCACACTATAGCAAGTTCTTGAACAACGTCACTCCACTGTGATGCTAATGAGATGCCCTAGGACCAACTCTTATGTACAGCTACGAGCCTGTGGTCAAACTGGCTTCTCATACAGTGTTTCACGTACAGCCACAGACTCATGATGTTAAGTGAGAACTTACTGTACATAAAAATAGGTTTTCTCCCTGACAGGCAGAATCATGGGATTTATTTCTTTTGTATTTTCTATAATTAACAGATTTTTCTTTAGAAAGCAAGTATAGCCCTGGCCGGTTTGGCTCAGTGGTTAGAGCGTCGACCTGCGGTCCTGAGAGACCCGGGTTCGGTTCCCGCTAAGGGCACGTACCTCGGTTGCAGTTTGTCCCCGGCCCTGGTCGGTCATGCGGGTGGCAGCCACTCGATGTGTCCCTTTCACATCGATGTTTCTCTCTCTCTCTGTTCCTCTCTCTCCCTCCCACTCTACCTGAACAAAAAAATGGGAAAATATCCTCGGGTGAGGATAAAAAAAAAAAAAAGAAAGTATACTTTTATCAACATTAATAAAATCAGTGTTTTTCATTGAGTACCTATTAACTTATGAAAACGGATACTGACTGTGGTATTTTTAAAAGAGTAAAAGAATAAAAACAACTGTCAGCCCAACAACAGGGAGCTGGTTAAATAAATCACAGAATGTCCATGTAGTGATAATACACAACTAAAAACAGTGAGGTACATCTATGTGCAAAAATATGGAGGAATTTCAAACTACATGGCTCATTTAAAAAACAAAAAAACACAACCCGGCCAGTGTAGCTCAGTGGCTGAGCATCGACCCATGCACCAAGAGGTCGCCAGTTCAATTCCTGGTCAGTCAGGCACATGCCGGGGTTGTGGACCCGATCCCCAGTGGGGAACATGGAGGAGGCAGCCAATCAGTGTTCTCTCTCATCAATGTGTCTCTCTCTCTCTCTCTCCCCCTCTCCCTTCCTCTCTCTCGAAAATCAATAGAGAAAAAAATTTTAAAAAGAAAAGAATCATCTTGTTGTAATACAGTTTGGGATTGCCCTGGCTGGTTTGGTTCAGTGGTTAGAGTATCAGCCCACGGACCAAAGAGTGGCAGGTTTGATTCCTGGTCAAGGGCACGTACTTCAGTTGCGAGTTTGATCCCTGACCTTGGTCGGGGTCGTGTGGTAGGCAACCAACAGAAGTTTCTCTCTCTCTCTTCCCCTCCCTCCCTTCCACTCTAGCTAAAAATCAATAGGAAGAAAAATGTCCTCAGGTGAAGATAAAAAAAAAACAGTTTGGCATTATTTACTGAAGTTGGGGGTATGCACAACCCTATGAGCCAACAATTTCACTTCTAGAGATAAGCATAGATATATGTATGTATGTACATGTTTACGAAACAGAAACATGCACGTGTGCACAAGAGACATATACTAGAATGTTCTTAATAGTGTCATTAATAACACCACCAAACTGCAAACAATCCAAATGCTATCAACAGTAGAAAAAATTAGTTGGAATTTAGCTATAGGCTAGACTGCTAATCAGCAATGAGCAACTATTATGTACAACAATGAGGATGAATCATATATAATGTTACGTGTAAACAGCAAACGTCAAAGAATATATGCTATAAGAATCCATTTCTATAAATTTCAAAAACAGACAAAACAGAGAATTTGAGAGATGCAAAAGAAAGCGATGAGTGTACAGGTCAGGACAATGTTTACTGTGGGCAGGACGGAAGGTCCAGTGACCATGGGAAGCGTGAAAGGGATTACGAGGTGCTGGCTCATTCTCTTTCTAGACCTGGGTGGGGTTTACACCAATGTCATTTCATGATTCATTCAGCTGTACAATTTTGTTTTCCCCACTTTCTGTATGTATTATACTTCATAAAAAATAACTTGAAAAGCAAACTGCAAAATATATATAGTGTGTCACTATTTGTGTTCTAAATAACTAAATACATAAAGAAAGACATTACTGAAAAGGGAACCAGAGACGAGAAATGACAGGGAGGCCAACTTCCCATTATTCCTTTTTTCCTTTGAAATTCGTGCCATGTACATCAGTACCTGATCAACAAAGTTGTCATCCTATCAGTCATTTCGAAGCTAACTTACCAAAGTCCCGCTACGATAAAAGCAGCAGTTGTAATGGGAATCAAGGCTGGATACTTGACATCATAGTCTGCAATCCCACGACACCATTCCAGGTAGAGAATGCAGTACAGTGCAATGGACAAGCTGAGAAGTAACAAGGCACCGCCAAAGAGAAACCAACTGTAGAGACGAAAATGTCAGGGTGGACAGCACTTAGCAAATCAGCAGATACCTTAAACTACAAATCTATTTCTACAACAACATCGACTGGAAGAGGAACAGAGGGACCCAAAATTACTCAATCCCAGATTTCAGGAAGTCTTGATCTACTGGGAATTGGGGTGAGAAAGGATGAGCCTGAGACCCATTCATGCATATGTACTTTTTAAAATAACCAGCCACAAAAGAACCCTGGCTATGGCTATGCGTTTTCTTTAAAAACACAGAAAAGAGAGCAGCTTTTGGCCTGTTTCTGAGGTTTTGAGTATGAGAGTAATAAACAGGTACCATTGACTCCTCCAAGTAGGGTTTCTTGGAATGCTGAAAATCAACTTGGAAGATGGTTAATTCACACTGCCTCTCATATAAGATTTCTAAATAAAACCATCACCTTTTCAGAAGATCTCTAATCCCCTCCAAGGAGCAATGTCTTCTTTCTTCCTTCTAATTCTATCCAATACCTGACTCAGCATGTATGAACCCACCAGCCTCTTCCTTCCGACCCCTGCTGGTCATGGGAGGAGGCCAGGTTTGGGGAACGAAGACCTTTTCCCAGTCCCCCAACTCAACCCAATGCCCCCATTTATATTTTGCTTCTCCATGGGGAGAAGACTGGCACTCCGTGTAGAAGATGGAGGGGGAGCAGGTGGCTGGACAGGCCAGTTCACAGGCACTGAGTGGACTTCCAACAATGGCAAGGCTCCAGATTCCCTTCAGGAATTTATGATGGAATTCTGGGATTCAGAATCCTAAGGGGCCGTAAGCACCGTGGTGAGGAGCACAATCTTCCAAACCTGAGTCTGAGTCTCAGCTCTGGCATGACTAGCTTTGTGACTCCGGGCAAATGGCGCAAGCTTGGTGGTCCCGATTCACAGAACAGCTGTGACAGTGAAGTTGTGTTCAGAAAAGTGCCTCCGCCCTCAACAGTGATCACTGTTGCTCCACGGAGGCTGTTTGTCTCTGGGGAAAATATTTCCATGCTTCTTTTTAGGGGGCCCTGAGACCTCTCTTCTGAGAAGTGTGCATTCTCCACAGGTGCGACATCACCTCCAAAGTGAAGAACACTTTTGTGTACATAAAGCACAGACATTCACATGTAGGGGTGATTGGGGGGAATGCCTATAAAAAGGCTCCTTAGGAGGAGATGAAAAGAGGGCTGGGAAACTGTGCTAGAGCTGTGGTGGTCTCCCTGCTTCATCAGGACCCCCCCCTTTTATTCACATCAGTTTTCCATCCTCACGTGGGATCCCAGCGTGGCTCCTCTGTCCAGATATGGTCAAGAATATAATAAACTTTTAAATAGCCTGAACAAAATAAAATACTGCAAGTCAGTGGTCCTCGACCTTGGCTGTGTCAGTGTCACCTCTGGAACTTTTTAAAAGTAAGTGACCTTGACCCAGTTTCCAAAAGTCTGACACGGTGGGTTTGAGGACGGCCCTGAGCCTGTGGGGTTGTAATTTGGTTTTTCCTTTAACTCCACAGTTGATTTTGATACACACAACCTGGATTTTTTTTTTAAAACTGTGGTTTCCAAAGCATCACAATATTTTGCTGTTTTTAATGTTGACTCATCTCTAAATATACAATCTTATACCCTCGCATATACCCAATGCCTCGTTGAGCTAAGAGCAGGGCAATAAGGAATTTCCCAGGTATCAGAGAATGAACCATCTTCAACTAAGCAGCAGGTGCCCTCATGCCGGCATCGGGCACTGTCACAGAGAGGCCCTCAGCAAGGACACGGTGCTATTCAAAATCCTTGGCCTCCGCGTCCACACTTGTGTCTTTTCTTCTCTACGATGACACATTTGGGGGCCAGGCCCATGGCTTCTGCTTCCCTGTCACACTCTGCTGCCCTGGTCCCGAGTCTGAGTCCTGGCCCTTCACACACAGCAGTGTGCTCACTGCACTTACTGCCACAGGCGCCCAAACACCTGACGCTGTGTAACTATTCCTGTCTCACTGGGTCCTTAAAGACATACTACGCGTAAGGACACACACGCATAAATCTCACTTCTCCTAAATCTCAAACAGTCTACGACCTGAGGCTGGGCTCGCCGGTGTCTCTTCTTGGTGCTCGAGTAGCATCCTGTACACGCACCCGAGCACCCCGTGACCTACCCACCTGGCTGTCTGGGCCTAGAATGAACTGCTGGAGGGCTAGAAATGGGTTCATTTATCCCGCCTCCACAGCTGCACACAGCTCAGGCTTTTAGGAAATGTGGTGAATGATGGGGCAGCTACCGGTGGTTTGAAGTAATTATTCCCTTTTCTCCCAGCCCAAGTTCTAAACCAACTGCGAGACAAAGGAGTCAGGCTGATGAGGATCTATTGTCAGTGTTTTTACTGACAGAGCTGTGGGAAATGGCTTTGATGAACAGCGACAAAACGCTTCCTAACACTTAAACCCAGAAATAGACAGGCTTACCCACCAGGTTCCAAGTCGCAGTGGAAACCTAACAACCGTCTCATGTCAAGGCTGCCCCATAAAATAACGGCCCAGGAAAGCAGACCAGAATCCATGCTGGCCACGGGCAGCTGGCTCCCAAGAGGAGGGAGGTGCTGAGCTACATATGCCTAGTTCTTCATCGCAAACCCAACCAGGAAGTCACACCAGCTCCCAGAGAAGGAGCGAGTGAGGCAGAAGCGCAGAAGATGGAGTGGTTAGGGGAAGCCCGTGCTTGAGGAAACAAGGAGAGAGGAACAAGCTTTCTCCCTCCGATGGTTTAAACAAAATCCCCTATGCCTGCTTCCCCAGCTGTGCGCTCCCTCCCTCTCCTGGGCCTCTGGAGCCGGCGCTGCTCCTGAAGGCCTCGGAGAACAAACTGCGGGCCCACCATGGCAACACAGGCTCAGTCCATCCACACCTATCCAGCCTCACTGGCACTTCCATAAATGCTTGCACCCTACAAAAACAATCCCTCCCAATGCCAGCTCTGACCCTCACCAACATCTCCCCCTCTTTTCCTACTATCTGGGGGCTACCAGAACACCCTCCGATGTTCAGAGGAACCTGGGATGATTCACAACCTCCTCTTCCATGTGGAGTCCTGAGATTAACTAGTGACCTTCACTTCAATGCTAATTCAACCACCCCTTGTTAGCTGCTGTACCTCCTCTCTAAACACAAACTCTGAGACCTTATTCTCACCCAGCCCAGTCCTCATTCCCTCCTAGTACTCCTGCACCTTTTCTTCACCAAGACCTTCAGTCAGAGACTGTCTCCTTCCATGATCTATGAACGGATTAGGTCCTTCTCTCATTTACCACCTTTCCCATTCTACAACACGCTGTGCTGAAAAGGCCCGCCGAAATAACCGCCCGCCTCCCTAACTCCGCTGTCCATGCCCAGAGCATGCACCGCTCACACAGTGCCTCGCAGAAATTAGGTACCTACTAAGTGTGTGAAGAATTCAACTGATAGCCCTGGCCGGTTTGGCTCAGCAGTTGGAGCATCAGCCTATGGACCAGAGTCGCATGTTCGGTTTCTGCTAGGCCCTAGTGGCTAGGGACACATACCAAAAAAAAAAAAAAAGAATTCAACTGACAAAATAAAACATGGAAAATAAGACACAGGTGTTTAAACTCATGAACCAGTAAAGTTTTCTTACCTACTAGTGTGAAAGTTTTCCTTAACAGTTTTAAAGAAATCAACATAATAGGTCACAACAATGGATGCCAATATCCAGAATCCTGAATGAATATTAAGTCTCGGAAGCGGTTTCTGCTTTTTCTCAGCAGCTGCAGAGGTTCCTGCAAATGAGGCAGATTTCAACTTCTTAAATTACCATAAGAGCATGGGGGGGGGGGGGGATCAACCTCTTTTAAGCCAAATATTTCCTAGAGTTTTTTGAGAACCACATTCTCTCCCACCATAGCACGAATTTCTTCTGTAAAAACACTAAAATTGGTTTATATTTGCAGAAATAATTACTAGGAGGCCACCATAAAACATGTTCATTACAGTCAGCATCTTTCCTCTACACGAATTTTGAAATCAAATTTACATATTCAGTATTCCGGAAAGAATGACATCTGGTATAGTGTAGGAATTTTAACATGATGTTTCATATTTCATCTAAGAAAGTCATTAGTCCCATGAAGGAAAATGCAAAAGGTAAATGTTACAGCACAAAACAGACTTGTGATTTTCCAAATATACTACCTCTAACTATTTAATTATTTTAAATAAACACAATCTTTTAAGGCAGCCCGGATGTGGAAGGGGCACACTGGGCCTAGTCCCAGCACAGTACTGCCTGGACAGGTGATGATAAGCCCAAGTTTCTTCCACCTGGGACCCACTCTGACAGAGCAGGCAGCTGGGGTCGGGTTGGATGAGTTCTAACTGGTCCCAAGGTGACTCACAGGCCCCTCTTGTTCAGGTGAGAAGCACTGGTATACATCTGAGGTTCTCAACCTTTGGAATACCTAAGAAGCTTGTTCATAACACCAATTCCGGGAGACGATACCCTCAACATTTATCAACAAGCATGCCGGCGCATGATGTTTTCTGCTGCTTATTTTTAAAATAATAATCTGTCAGATTGGGTCCCAGGTGGAAAAAACTTGGGCTTATCCTCACCTGTCCAGGCAGTACTGTGCTAGGACTAGGCCCAGTGTGCCCCTTCCACATCTGGGCTGCCTTAAAAGATTGTGTTTATTTAAAATAATTCAATAGTTAGAGGTAGTATATTTTTAAAAGGCAATCAACGCACACGGTTTACAACATACTGGACAAAAAGATCGAACGTGGACTCCGCCTCTCCCTGCTCCCCTGCCCGGGAGCAGCCAGCAGTGCGGGCTTCTGCCGGAGTCTTCTGCACTGCCCGCATCTGCGGGAAAACTGCCCCCCCACTCGCCCCGTCTGTACCGCTCCGGTCTGGGCCGCCCTGTGAAATCACCCGCACTGGTCGACACAAGTCTGCCCGCGCGTCTGTGGCCAGCTCTGCTGGCGGGCAGTCGGACGTCCCCAGGGGTGCGCTGTTACGAGCCGAGACGAAACGCTTGGCACACGCGGCCTCCTGGGCCCGGACGGGTCGGTTTGGTAGATTCTTCGGGGAAAAACCGGTGGGTATGTTGAAGGGCTGTCACCAAACCGGTGTGGGACCAGCATTCCTGGGAACCCTGGGGCGCGGCCTGAGATGAAGATGCGCAAGGCTAGGTGACCCCTAAGGACAGTTTATGACACTGAACACCCCACTTGCAAACCACTGCTAAACCTGGAGCGACCGGGCGCTCCCGGGCGGGCAGGGCTGTGCAGACCCGCAAGGCCGGCCGTGGCCGGGCGCCTTGCCCCGGGAGCCTCGGAGCGCCCGGAAAAGCGCCTCACCCGGCCCGGCGTGGTCTCTGCCGTCCCGCGAGGCCTCGGCGTCGAGCGAGAACAGGTAGCGCCGCCGGAGCTGCTCCCGGGCGCGCAGGGCGTCCATCTTGGCGCCTCTAGGCCGCGCGACGGAAGTGACGTCAACCCCGCCGGAACTTCTGGCGTCGACTTCCGGGAGGAGGAGTCTCTTTCTAGGAGGGGTGGAGATCGCGTTGTTTCTACGAAGGGTGGAGACCCTACTGTCTTTGAGGTTTTAATGGGTGAGCATCTAGAGCGGAATTGGTTTCGCAATCTTCGCGCTCAAATCTGCCAAATGATTTGAATTTCAAAATGCTGATCCTCCCGAGGCCGAAAATACCCCATTTTCTCCCGAAGTCCCGAGCTTACGTGCCGCTGAGTGCGTGCCGGGCGGGGGTGCGCGGCCCGCGACGCCGCGGGCTTCGCTGTGCTGCCTCCTCCCGAGCTGACCTTGGCCCCAGGGCGGTGCCCGGTACATAAGCACCTCGTGCAGGCCTCGACGTCAGCCCCAGCCTCTTTCTCACCTCTCTTCAGGAGGTGCCCAGCGATTCTGAGAGGGTCGAAAGCAGCCCTCGGAGGAGGAAGGGCCGCTGGGTCCGGTCCGGCACCAGCTGTTGAGCCTCAGGCCTGGCACCGACCACTTGGGTGGACTTGAGCAAGAAATAAATGTCTCTGAGCCACTTTGCCTCTTCTGCACCTCGGGGATTATACCTGCCTCTGGGGTTTAAATGCAAGGCACCTGTATGTTCGTGTTAACCTCCTTTTTCCAACTTCTGAGAAATTTCACCAGCTGGGAATGTGGGAGTTAAATTTGTACTTTCCCAGAAAACGGTCACCTCCCTAGCTCATGCTCATAAGCCGAAAAAAAACTGTCACTAATTAACAAGTTTTTCTCTATCTATTATTCTCCTACCCGCTTCTGCTTCCTACCATGTCATGTGTTGAATGTGCTTAACCAGTCACTGTTTACTGAGCACCCACTATTTGCTAGGAACTATCAGACACCATGCTAGGCAACAGAAGGATGAGTAAGACAGGATGTTGCACTTGAGCCCCATGGACCAAAGATGAGCACAGAGCTATACTCCAGAATATTGCAGTATTTATAATGTATGGAAGCGTTTCATTAAGTCAACAGACATTTTCTGAACAGCTGCATCTACTAAAATGCTGAGGACAGGGGTAAGCTACAATCTAGCTTAGAGGATACGACTTCAATACAAGGCCATAGTAGAAACATTGCATGCAGGGTTGTGTAAGTACAGAGTACAGAGTAGTGTATTTTGCTGGGAGGTGTGGGGAGCAGGGAGAGTAGCTTGAGGTGTGTCAGGTACAGGGCTAGATAACCCAGAAAGCCAACCAGGAAGTAAATTTTAAATTAGTTGGCACTCTTTCCTATCTTCTATATGTCCGGGGTATTTGCAGAAGAAATATAAGAACGTCAATTTCCTACTGGTTGATTTCTGCCATTTCTTCAGCCTTTTAGCAAACCCATTGGAGCAAAAGATTTAACAGCCTGGTGGATCATATGGCCTTTCTACACAATACCTCCTCTTTCTTGTTTTGTTTTGCTTTCCGCTTCCTAAAGAACCAGGGTTCATCTCTTCAAAGCCAACTGGGGTCTTTGCCCTCCTTTCTTCTCTCTCTTGTACAGGGTTAGAAGTCTTGTTAACAGGAAGCGAATTCCTCCTCTCAAATACAATCTTCTGTTGATTGTTTCCTTGCAGAAAGGTCAGTGCTGGGTCTCCCTTGTAACTGTATATTCCCAGAGCATCGCAGCAGTTCCAGGGTTTCCATACGTAGTGTGTTCAAGTCGGGTCTGGTTTCCCCTTTGGTGGTTTCAGGGCCTTTGTATGTGGATCTGAAATCCTCCCAGCTATCCCCCCCCCCCGATATTTTAAATAGCACTACTTGCACACCATGTTGATGATACTTAAAAGCAGGCTGGAAAAAATCCAATACCTAATGAGCACATCTTCATTGTTGGGGTCCATTAAATAAGTTCTTAAATGTGTGCACTGTGCACCTCAATGACAGATATATGATATCAGTATGCTACCCAACCAAGAAATTGTCATTTTCTATGTGTATTACTTGGGAGTCAGGGGGGGTGTATTTGTCTATGACCTTTGCTCGCTTGCCCTTAGCAACGTGGTTATGTCCAAGGTGTTTATAGACTTTTGAATTCTGACTCCATCACTGGGTTTGGGGGCAAGTTATTTTTCTGTTCTAAGATTTATTTCCTCATCTATGATACAACAGGTTTCAGAGTGAAGATAAATGTATACCAGTTGCTTAGTGTAGTGCCTGGCATGTAGTGTGCGTTCAAGTTACTATTCATTACTACTTAACTGGACTTGCCAGGTCTTCTGGAGCAGGCTTCTGCTCACCTCTTGATTAGTTATTCCTTCTCCTCAGGCTCCATTTACTCTTTGTTGCAGTTTCCCTTTTGCCTGTTCTCTCCCTAGTTAATGGGAGCAACAACCATGTCTTAGTAGCTCCCCAGTGCCTTGCATACACCTGGCACATAGCAGGAGCTCCGTTACCTGGTTTTCACTTTGGCCCTAGATCATAATTAACTGGACTTCTGTGTGGCCATACTTATGTCTGCCCAGCATCCCTTCCTCTGAGAAACCACTTGTCTGCTTTCCACCAACAGTCCTGAATGTTCTCAGGAGGCTGGGCGAGGGCACATGACCTGAACCAGATCTGTCAGCCCCCAGGACTTTGGTGGAGCCTGTTGGGAAGATCTCTGTTGGTATGGTCAGTTGTGAGGTCACTGTGGCTTGGGGCTGTCACCATAGAGACATGTGGATCCCACCTAGGAAGGAAGCTTTGAGATGGAAGCCAAGCCAAGAGGTCTTGGTAGCATCCTCTCTCAGCTCCTGAATCCAGCCAAGCCCTTATTCATCGAGTTAAGAACATGGCTCTGGAGCCAGTTGCCTGGCTGTCTGTCACTACTGGTCCTGTCATTATTGGCATTTCAGCCTTGGGAAAGCCATTATCCTCCCTTGAACCTTAGTTTCCTCACTTGCCAAATGGGGTTAAGAATAGTATGTGTCTCCTAGGATTGAAGAAAGATTAAAAGAATAATACATGCAAAGTGCTTAGAACAGTGCCTGGCCCATGGAAAGCTTTCGGTCTTCCATTGTTGCAACTGCACAGATTCCAGCTCCCCCCCCCCCCAAATCATTTTTTCTCAAATTAATGCTAATTTGAGTTGTTTTCTGCTCCTTGCAACTCTGAGGCTAGACCAATGCAGGCAGCCCTGTTTTCTAATTGAGCCCTGTGGGTGCCCCAGTAGTCCCCAGCTGGACTGTGACTATCTCCAGGAAGGAGTTCACACATGTAAAGCCCTTAGAAAAGCACCTGACCTATAGAAAGTACTTGTAAATCTCACTTGGGATATTATCTCAGTCTGAGAAGAAAGCCAGTTTTTATTTTTTTTTTCTCCAATGTTTATTAATTTTTTTTGTTAACACATTTCTCCTTTCCCCCCCTAGACCTCCTCCCCCCTTACCCCCCTAGAAAGACAGTTTTTAAAAACTCCCTTTAATTATATAAATAATACAAGGAAATATGTGTCCCTTTTTACACAACTCTACTTCACTGACAACAGTTCCAGAGTTGTAATTGCTGGGTGAGACGATCTGAACATTTTAGACTTGAACTGCTCTCTTCAAACCAGCTCCAGAAAGGGGACGGTTTTCTGCTCTACACTCCCTCCAGCAGTGGGCAGGAGAGACCACAACACGTGCGCCTACAGCTGGCTTCTCCTTCTGGCAAATGTTCCCAATTCAAAATCCGGTGGTTGAGGAAGAATCTGCTGTTTTAACTTTCTTTTCCCTTTTAACAGATTTTTTCCACATATTAATTGGCTATATGTACATCATATTTCTTTTGGGGTTTTCATTCTTTGCTTATTTTTATAGATCAAGGAACTCTGACTGTCAGATCTGTGGCAATTATGTTTTTCCAGTTTACTGTTTACCTTTTAGGTTTGGTCACATTCATATCTGTGTTTTGTTTCTCTTCACTTCTCATAGCTTGTGATGGAGAGGGAATTTGCATGGGCTTGCCACGTGGGTCCAAGTGGGAAATCCTGGCAGGTGGAAGTGCTCAGCCAGTGTTAGTACATAGCACTTGCGGGACATAATACATGGTAAATATCGCCTGAACCCTCTTCCAGTGGACCCAGTAATCCCCTGCCCGTTTGTTACTCAACTGCCTGTGGCGGGAGAGGTTCTTTTAGTTACTTACCTCCAACCCAAACCAACTTTAACCATCCTAAGCAAAATATGAATAATGACAAGTATAATAGTAACCATTATCATATATACATGTGCACTTTTTTAAAACAAAGTTATTGGAACTCCTCAGGACTATTTCACAAGGTTGAAAGAAAAATAGGACTGCAGCTAAGTGTGAGTGGGGGTGACACCCAGCATGGCTCCAGAACACAACCATGACTCAGCTCTGAGGACTCGGCGTCCCTGCAGCAGATGGTGCTGAGCCTGCTGTCATCCTCTGGCCCTCACCATGTCAGTGCATGCCAGCCTCTTCCCGCCCCCAGCATCGGGGTCACTGTGCCTGGGCTTTCTCTGGTTGCATCCTTTTTAAGCAGTGAAAGGTGGAGAGAATTCTCACAAGAGAAATCAGTAAGCCCAACAGATGCCTGCTGCACCAACAGGAAAATGCCCTTAAGTGAACCTCTAGGGACGAGCAGTGTGTTCCCTGGGATAGAAGGGTGGAGAGGAGACTGGACAAGCTGCTTTCTGGCTGTGTCAGGCAGGCTCCCCGGAAAGATCGGGACGGAAGAGGACGGCCCCTAAATTAGAAGGAAAAGGAGGTGGGTGGGAGGGACTGGCCTAGAATTGAGAGGCCAGGTAGGCAGGAGTCCTTGACTTTTTAGTGTCCCCAAGCACTCTTGGGATTTCTGGCTGTGAGACCAATTTGGGAGCAACGCCTGGGCCCATTGGGTTCTGTGGGAGGACGATCTCATGTATGAAATTGCTCACATTTAAGTGGAGAGCTATCAGGCTTGCGAACCTGTGAGAGTGGGGGGTGTGTCCTGGCTGACTGCCCTCCAGATGCCCAGAAT